CCATCCTCCATCCTCCATTCCCCGTAATGCACCCACCCACGGGTCGGTTTGAATAAAGCCGACCACTGCTCTCTCTCTCAAGGGTATCCCTGACTCTGGGCGACGTGGTGAGTCCTTTTCCATCAATCAAATGCATCCTGAGCAGACTCTGTCCAGGTTCAATCTCCTGATGATGAGTCATTAGAAGTTCGACGACACAGTCTGGCACACAGTCATGCTTTTACAGTGGATTTGTGTATGGCGCACATAAACACACACAAACACACACAAATGGCCCACATAAACACACACAAACACAGATGCGCAGTCCCCCTTTCTCTTTGTGACGTTCTGTTTGCCGAATACGAAACAAAAAAAGAAGAGAGAGAAAAAACAGCACAGAGGGGGGGCGCGGGGGGGGGTTAGGTGGGGCACGACAAAAAAGAGGAAGCCGAAAGAAGATTGGTGGAGAGAGTCGTCGATGTCCTTTTTTTTTTCTTTTTTTTTCTTTTTTTTTCTTTTTTTTTTTGAGTCGTCTTGCAAAGGTATGGGGTCACGAAAAGGATGCAAGCAAAAGCGCCAGCGGCAGCACGTAACATTGTCCCGGTGCCTTCATTAATCATCTCTCTCCTTTTCTCTTCCACCTTATCACCTCCCCGTCTGCTGCACTACCGGGCTTCGCCTCCCTCCCCTCTTTCCCAACGTAATCATCGCCTTTGACGACGCTGCTTCAGCTGGACCTTCTTCCTTATCCCACCGACATTTCCCATTTCTTAAACAACACAGGTCAGTCCCATTTTGCCCTCCCTTCTTTGTCAACCTCCAGACCCCGTTAAAATTCCATCCGGCCATGCAAGTCCCAATGCCCGCATCCCACAATATCGTCCAAACTGCACTTCTCCCCCCTCGTCTCTTATACACATCTAGATGTGTATAAGAGACAGCTCCCTACAGCCAGCCCTCTCTCGCCCCCTCCTCCTCCTCCTCCTTCCTTCCCCCTGCCCTCGCCCTTCCTCCTCTTTCGCCCTTCGTCCTGCTCTCCCGGCCTTCCCTCCTTTCCCACTTTTACAGCTTTTCTTTTTTTTATCATTGCCGACGCCCAAGGGTGTCCCTTCTGCAACTGCTGATTCTCTCCATTCTCTGCGACTGCTTCTCTCTCACTCGAGTCAGTACGTTTATGCCCTCGGTTGCCCCTGTCCCCGTCTTCTTCTCCTTCTGCTTCTCCTTTCACACTACTACTTCCCCCCTTCTTCCAAGCAATGTCCGACTGCGTTTGCAATCAGCGTTGCCGACAATGTCGCAGAGATGGCTTCTCTCTCTCTCTCTCTCTCTCTCTCTCTCTCTCTCTCTCTCTCTCTCTCTCTCTCTCTCTCTCTCTCTCTCTCTCTCT